TATATATATATATATTTGTTTCAAAAGATTTCATAGACCTGTTTCAACATTTGACCATAGCGGCATGAAATTAAGATTTAACATGCAGAAAAGATAAAATTTTGAATTTTCTTTTTTACTATTTCATGGAAATCTTTCAACATCTGACCATTACAGCATGAAATTAAGATATAACCAAAACATTCCAAAAAAGTGTTTTGTTTTCTCAAAATGCTCTAATTTGATGGGAAACATTTTGATGAGAAATGTGCTGAACATTTAACATTTTTTTTCTTAAAATCAATAAATATACACATTTGCATTGCAATATCTTGCTATATCAGTTTTTATGATAAATAACAAAAAAATTTAAAAACAGATTTATTTAAGAATATTTAACTTGTGGTAGCGCAGCTGTTGTTTGCAGTGTAGGGTATACAGCAGGGGTGTCAAACATACGACTTGCAAGCCAAAACCGGCACAATAGGGTGTTCAATATGGCCCATATGATGAATTTGGAAAATAGAAAAATACAAAAGCACTTAATGTTTAGTATATTTTTTGGCAAAATTCAATTTCATTAAATAATAATAATAATAATAAATGTCTAATATACTTGTTCTTCTTTGCATGAAAAAAGGGAAAAGCATGGACTTATTGTTATTTATAGTTAATTATGTTATCATTGTACTGGTCCAGCCTAATTAAGTTGTATGCGGCCTCTGAACCAAACGAGTTTGACACCACTGGTTTAAAGTGTCAGGAGACGTGTTTCTAATGTTGGTGGCTGTGTCTCAGCGTTAAAAAAGTTTGATTCTCACTGATAACCCAGGCAATTCTTCCAGCATCTACAGCTAAACATTTCTGTTGCCTCTGTCTCCTACCTTTTTAGTGGCGCTCCTTCAGTGACGGCCTCCGTCTTCACCTCCTCCAACTTGTCACTAGGAAGTTCAGGGGGTCTGAAGTCCGTCTTATCAGTTCTGGGAGTCCTGAATCCTCTCCACCACCCAGCTCCAGTCTCTCTCTGCCTCAGCAGAGCCGTGTACATCGCTGTCTCACTGGTGATCAGACCCAGACCCGATGCTCCGTCCGGACACACCGCCATTTCCATGGGCCCGTCCAGAACCTCTGGGTCCTGCACCCGTGGGTGAGGGCTGAGTGTGGGAGGAAGTGGAGACATGGGAGAGTGGAGCAGAGACTCAGCGGCTTTCCTGGAAAGAGGTTTGGGATATTTGCAACTTGGCAGAGCAGACAGAGGTTCTATAGGTGGCTCCAGCGCCACTAGACCTGCCAGCTGTGGGCCCCCTGATGAGTCCTGTTCCAGAGGGGTCTCCTGTGTCACACACAGACGGTGGTGGAAGGGGATCATAGCTGGCCTCTTGGACTGTTTGTCAGCCTTCTCTGTCTTCTCACTGGTCTTGTGTTTGGGCAGGGAGGGGGGGTATAATGAGGGTCCGGTGGACTGAGTGGTGTTGGCACTGGACTGGTTGTTGGCACTGCACGTGGAAGTCAGGTTCAGCTTCTGCTGCCTCAACCTGCAGCAACGTGTGAAATTAAAAAAAAGAAAATTAGTTTCAGAACAACAAAATACTCGCCAGACCCAAAGCCAGACTAATCTGTTTTCTCTTTTGTCTTTTTTATTGGTATATTTCGGACTATTACAGTAACATTTGCCTTAAAATACTTAGCTATGTCCATTTCTGTTGTTAAAATTCAGAAAAAAATCAACTTTTTTGGTACAACAACTTTTGATCACAGTAAAACACTACTGCAATAAGTTTCTGAACAAATCTCCAAATATTAAAGTTTCTCAAAAACAACTAAAAATGCACTAATTTGCCTTAAAATACTTAGCTATGTCCATTTGTGTGTGTGTGTGTGTGTGTGTCTTTGAGAGTGAACAGCTTGGCTGCAGCTCTGGTCTACCTGGAGCAGCTGCAGGACGCCCTCGCTCCCAGATCATTGAAGTCCCATGTGGTAGCTCCATTTGGCACTTCCTTCTTAGGCGCCACGTCAGATGGTGGATTGAGCCTGCAGGGAATAAACAGCTCCATGAGGGCAGCAGCTCAACTGTACGCCTGCGTTGTACCGGTGGTCACAACAAACACACTGTGCCACCGCGTCTCACTCATGCTTTGTCTTACACATGCTGAGGCTGGTTCAGGTAGCACTCCCTCCAGGCCTGATGGACCACCTGAGAAGTGAGTTTCTTCCCAGAATGCTTTGGGCTGATGCTCGGGGTGCTGCTGGGTGGGGGGGGGACGGGGGAGGGGGGGACCAAAAAGCCACTGTCTGCTGGAGAGACAAAAAAAAAAAATCAATACGTCAGAAAACCACTCTGAAGGCAGTATTTTTTTGGGACAAGCTAATTTAGGATTAACAAGTTTGGGAAATTTGACTTTAAAATTTGTAAACCAAAAAAAAAAAATACATAGTTGTTGACAGGCAGTGAGAACAACTACTTTCTAAACATGAAAACAACCAAAATGTAGGGCTTAAATGTACTGTGTATGTCTAAAGTTTGCTGGACAGATAGAACCATCCTTAAACCACTAATGCTAAGCTAATGCTAATCCATGGAAATAGCCAACAAGTAGCTCGAGATTTAGCTTCAAAATGGATCGTATTAGAAAGATTATGGAGGAAGAAGTTATAAAACTGAAAAGAAAAAAAGTCTCCATTCCTATGAAGCCAAAGGCTTAAAAAAACAAATTTGTTTATATACATTAAAACTGTTGCACATGTGACGTCATAGGTCAAACGCAGGGCCAGAGGGCAGAAAAAAAAAACCTCTGACTAATCGACTGAAGTAATCCTGCGTGTACAGTTAGGTTCTTTTGTTCGTATATGTAGTTACCGGAGCAGGGCTGCTCGGGTGACGTTGGCGGGGTTAGTGGTACGCTGCAGTGGTTCATCTCCCTGCTGAGGCCCTGAGCTGCAGGAACAGGTGGGGGCTGCTCCACTGGTAGGTCCCCCTGGGCGATCAGAACAAAGGCAGCTGGGTAGGTCATCCTCACCCCACCTGGGACAAGAAGAGAGACGATATTTTAAAAATTTAACGTTAACTGTCAGCCGTTGAACCAGAGTATACGAATCGACCGTCGCCACTGGGTTTGAATGTTTTGTTAAAATTTTGTTAAAGAAAAAAAAGTGCATTTTCTTAGAGATTCCCAAATCAAAAGTTAAAGAAACTGCAGTTGATCTAAAACAGGAGCTTTGTGTCAGTGATGGTATTGATTCCGTGGTATTGATAATGTGATACTCACACGAGTATCGATCACGTATCGATTGCTCTCATAAAGTATTGAGACTAATTCATAAATAAATCGGTCGTAAAAAAATAAATAGTCGTTCAGGGTAACTTCCCACATTCATACTTTTGTGCTGCAGCGTCCCCTGGATATGTAAACTTGAACTGATCCATGTATGTCACGTGACCACAGACCAGAGGAGAGCAGCGACTCCATGTGGTCAAGCCCATTAGACGTCTTTGTCCCGTAATGGTCGCAATTAAACCAGGGATGTACGTTATTAACTTTTTGCCGATATTGTCCAAACACTTAATTTCCGATTCCGATATCAACCGATACCGATACACTGTATGCAGCTGGTTGGTCCGAAGGCAGAGGTCACATTTCATTGTGTGCAGTGGTGCAGTGTGTCACCATGACAACGATTCACTTTCACTTTCAATTTAAAACCATTTTGAGGTCACGTCACCTGGGCCAAACCCAGGCATTGTGTTATCAGGTTTTCATTATCGGAGGAAAAAAAAAAATCCTATTGATGCTAATATTGGCCAATATTATTGGAAATCTCTATTAATATACGATGTTACTAACTGGGAAAATGAAGAACTTTTTAAAGCTGAAAATGATTTTTGTTTTCCTTGTTTTTCATGTTAAAATGTCAAAGAAGACGATGAATCAAAGAATGACTCAGTCAAAGTCCACCAAACAGAACAGTCCATGAAAAGAACGGGAGCCGTACGCAGATGTCTCCTCTTTGTTTTACCGCCTCATCACATGGCAGTGGACAGGAAAGGACACAGGAGATGATTTTAACTGGAGCGGAGTAATGACAACACATTAGAGCACATTAATGTAGCTCAGCCACAGGAAACAGCCAGAGATCTCCATCACTTTGATTCGTCCTCAGTCTCCATGTAGACTCCCCGGCTGTTCCAGCAGGGGCATTAGCAGAGAGGCAGCTACTGAGACGTCCTTTTACTGCACCGCTCCTCACACTCTGTTAGCAGATCTCTGACATGAGAAGGAAATAACTGCATGGGATGAGCAGGGAGAGGAGCGCAGAGACGGGGAAGTCATTGTGGAAACCACAGGGAGTTACCTCTAACAGCACTGTCTAATCAGTCTGTTCCCACAGCACTGCCATGACCTGATTACAATCAAAACTCCTGTGGATTCTGAAGTCGTCTTTCACTGCCTGGAATTAAAGCCGTAACGTGAATGTGAAGGCAGTTAAGATTATTACGTCGTAACGTATGAGTAGTGATGGGCGACACAGTTAACAACGACATTCAATATCTACGCCACAACATTTAAACTAGCGATGTCCGATGATATCAACCGACCAATATTATCGGTCCGATATTAGCATAATTATGTTATCGTTTTCTCCTTCGATAATGAAATCCCGATAACACAGTGTCCGGCTTTCGCCAATGGTGCCCTAAAAATAGTTTTGGGGAAAAACGGCTGTATGTGAAAGTGATATATTTATTCCCGTGTAATCCTGTATAAATCATACTGCATGAAGCAGTTGTTCTGTCTAGTCATACAACTAATCCAAAATGAACTTTTCTTACCTACGATGACCTCCACCGCCACATGACTGTTGTGGTCATACGCCTGACTTGCTTCCTCTTTTTCCTTCTCCCCACTTCCCTCTCTCTGCTGCAGCACCATGGGGTAGAAGTAGCTCCACTCCTCCATCAGCTTCCGTACAGCGGGGTCACTCATCTTGTAGGCCTGACCAGTCAGAGTGCCGCTCAGTCCGTACGGACTCAGGATCACTGCAGGTGAACGAAAAACACGCGGTCTGTAGCAGCGGTGTTCAGACTTTAACTGAGGCCTGAGTTCTTCTCCTGTTAAACTTGAATGAACTAGAATTAATAATAAAGTCAGTAAATGCATCCAGATCACAGAGAAACTTCTTCTAAACATTTCAGCTCAAGTGCGATCAGAATTCATTTTTACACCAGAAAAACATAAAACCTAGCCAATAACATTTGGTAACAAAAAAAAAAACTAAATAAAATACAAACTTATATTGCCAATATATATAAAACTACCAAAATATTAGCCTAGAAGAAACTTTTGCTAAGACATATTTAAGGGGTCAATCAATTACAATCAAGATTAATCGCGATTAATCAGAATTCAGAAGTGACTAATCAAGTTATGTGCCGTCATATTTATAATAACATTACTACAACAACTACTACTACTACTATGAAATATATTAATAATATTGATAATATATTTTCATACATAAAACAATATTAATAACCAAAACTAATAATAATTATTAATAATATAAGTATAATATTCATAAAATATAGTTATTATTTGTATCATTGTTTATTCTTAATATTATTATTATTATCACTATTATTAATGTTATATTAATACTAATATTGACTGGAAATGTTGATGTAATATTCATTGTAGTAATACGCATGTAGTGTGAGTTTTGCTACTTACTCTCACACCTATAATACTCTAATACAGTACATGCCATGTCGTATACAGTATATTCTGTTCAGTTCAGTCCAGAAAACTCCAACTGTCGGTGGAATCACCTTGCACTCCAGTAGTGCAGCTCTGGGCCAGTCGGATGTGCTGCTCCGTGATGTGGTACGCGGGCTGGTGCTGGGCGATCTCCACGCTGGTGCACACGTTGCTCTCCCCGTGGAGGAAGAAGGAGAAGGAACATGATAGGTGTTCACTGGGGAGAGGAGACAGACACAGGTTCAGATCACGAGAACGCAGCTGTACAGGAGTGGAACAGAGAACTGAGGGGAGGGTCCACTGACCCCCCCACCCCGTCAGGACAGAGTATGAAAACATCACTCTGAGATTTACTACGAAGTACTACGAGTTTGTACTACGAGTACAAAAATGATTGTTGGATGAAACCTTCACAACGGAACTTGAGGGAGAAAAAAAAGTATAAAAACTCCTTTATGACTGTGTTAGATTCAGGTCAATGTTCCTCATCACGTTTAATCATATAAAATAACTAAGTCGCACTTTTTTTCCATCCTTTGACTGGGTTTGCGACTTATACTCAGGTGCGACCTATATATTTAAATATATAATTTCACATGAGAACCGCTAGAGGGCACTCTAGGCTTGTGCACCAGTATCTGCTACTTATGTACCACTAAAGAATTTACATGTTTGTTATTTTCACACTGACAGCCTTGTTTTTTCTTCTTCATTATGCATTTTTTGGCTACTGCGACTAATGATGCGGAGCAACTTAGAGTCCGGAAAATACGGTAGTCTTATCTACTAAGCTAACAGAACAGGACAGAAGTTCTCTGTGGGGAGTTCTTTCTTTTCTTATCTCATCTTGACTAATTTCATCTCATCTGGTTTAATCCCGTCCTTTGTCATTTGATCTCACATCACTGGCTTTTGTTCATTGTGATCTGAATAAATCACAACTCTAATCTTCTGTTATTTAATCTCAGCTCATCTTAGTTCTACTTGTATTGTTTTGTCTTTTCTCATTTTATTTTCATCTCAAGTGTCATGTTATCGTACAACTGTAATTTAACTCATTTCAGTTTGGCTGTTTAATATATTTTTCTTAGATTCAGATCGTCCAGTTTACAGAACGTTCTAAAATCAAACACCCAAACGTCACCGTTGACTCTGTCTCGATCTCTGCTCGTGGTTCAAACGGCTCCGTTCACGCTGAGCCTGAACAGTGAAAACAGACATTACTCTGTGTCCAATTGTAATAGCTTGTGACAATGCCAGAGACAAAGTGTCATCATAATCAAACCGAAGCTCAAAGTGAAACTGAAATTGCACTTAATTATGTTAAGCTGCAGATTAAATAAAGCCGTGAATCAAATCTATCCAGAAATAAATGCACAGAACGGATGTGTCAGTCAGCGCGATGACTGACGGCGGAGGCTTTTCCTTCCAAATAAGCATTGGCCAACACTCTGTGTCTCTGTAAAAGCCTTGTATTGATCATCTCCATCACGCTGGCTCCTTATTGCAGGTATAAATCCTCATTTGCTCATGAGCGATGGTAGTGACTGCGTGTTTACATATGCACAGCCCTCTTTATTGCCTGGCACAGCCATACTTCATCACGCATCCCTGTTTCTTTTCTATTTTTCTTTTTTTTTTTAATCATCGAGGAGTAATTGTTGGCACGATATTACCGTCTACGCACCAGTGGGCGTGCTGGACATCATTAACCACCGCCGCAGCTCCACCGGTGGATATTACCAATCTCTAAAGCTCCTCACCTCCTCAGTTCATACATTTGGAGTCTGAGGATAAAGTCAGCAGGTAGTGTAATCTCTCCGTGATTACCCCGCTGCCTATGCAATATCTCCTCCGCCCTGAGGGAGCCGGACCTCCATTTGAGTCGTAATGGATCATCAAATTCAATAAAACGGCCGCTTCCACAGTCAGAACTAAACAGTCACGAGGGAGCAGAGCGTTCTGTCGCGTTAGCCCTGACGGCCTGCAGGTGGCACTGAGCACAGCCTGAGAAGCAAGGGGGGAGAGCATGTGGCCAATTTTCTCTGCTTCATAAACATTCTGGATGCTCGCAGAGAAACACACGGCTTCATCACAGCAGGTGGCCAAAGCACAGGTCTGCGCAATCACAGGAGTCCGGGCGCATACATATGCATGCACCAAACAGCTCAGCACATGTCTCCCTCACACCTACAGGGACAGGCTGCGTGTATGTGTGTGTGTGTGTGTGTGTGTGTGAATGCACGAACAGCCCAGTTCATCATCATCTTCCACAATTTCCATTTCCACAGAACACATGAGTCAGAAATGCCTCCAGTGTCGCTGCCCTCCAACCCTGTCCTCAGTGCATCATTACAGCATGAGAAGAGCTATATATAACTGCAGAGTGAAGCTCCGGGGAGCAGCTGCATGTCAAGAGCAGCAGTCACACTAACTGCCGGCACATATGCAGAAACAAGCACTATTTACTGGACGGTGCAAAAAGTCTGTGGCCCACGGTGAGGAGCGTGGAACCTTTAATAAAACAGTTCCGGTGATCTCCACTCTTCGTCCCATTCAACTGACATTTTACTCATCATCATTTTTCTCGAGCAGCCGAGACAGACTTCTGAGTTCGATTCAACTTTTGTTACAAAAGTCACAGAGTTTTCCCACAACGCTGCCAACTTCTGGCTGGTTGTGTAATGACGAGTGCTAAAAAAACATCATACAGGAGTTCTCCTCATTAATAGCTGTCGATGAAGACGAGTGACATCATCACTAACAAAAGTTCACGGATGCATTAGCTTCCAATGTTAAAAGCCGTGAGTACTCACAGAGTACTCTAACAAAGTACTATACAGTACATTTGAGCGTCCTCAGATTCTTTATGAGCAAATGTTCAATTATCCACACTTAAGATAAGTCCATAAATCTTAATTTTTTTTTTTTAAATTTACATTTTCAGGATTGATTTTCTCATTATACTCATTTGTGTTTGTTTTTTTCTTCTTTTTTTTGTATTTTTGTCTTTATTTATTTTCTGTTGTAACAGGCAGTACACGCGTTACATAAAACTATTTAAAAAAAATCATCCATTAAGACTTTATTTCCCTCTTGTGTTAATAATTCTTTGTGTATAGCTATTACACTGCTTTTTATGGGAGCGGTGTGTGTGTGTGTGTGTGTGTGTGGTACTGATGTGTCTACAAAAAGCAGTGCACCTTTAAAAACTGCAGCCTCTGCCAAAAAGAAGCAGGGAATCACTGTGTATTTTTACCTCCCTGTTATAAGAGGGAGAAATCGGTACCGAGTCCTATTAGCGTTTCTGCTAAAACCACAAAATGTCCCGAAGATTTTGGTTTTTTTTTTTTCTTTTTTATTCATTATTACTTTGACCTTAGAATCAATTAAAACGCGGCATAATTATTTAAACAGATTAACTTCATCTAATCAGGGGCCAAATATGAGGTCGTTATCATGGTTTTAAACCAGTTAAAGAACAATTCGTTCTCGGTGTTAAAAGCGTGTGTTCAGACGGCGCCGACGACCCGTTCTCCCTGTCCTTCCACAGAGGGCATTTTCCTGCACGGTAAGCTGGCGTGTGCGGACACACCGGGCTCCCGGCTTCCTCTGGGACTTCTGTGCACTTGACAAGCATCTGTGTGTGTGTAGGGTGTGTAGGGTGTGTGTGTAGGGTGTGTGTAGGTAGATGTGATGGTCTGTGTGAGTACAGGTATTAATAAATGAAGAGCAGTGATGGCTGAGTCTGGCCTCAGGGCTGACAGTACTGTTGAAAGATAGAGACGAGGGGAGAAGAGGGAGAAAGAGAGGGAGAATGTGGGGGAGAGAGGAAGAGGGGAGGGAGAGAGGAAGAGGGGTCGTCAGCAATGAAGACGGAGTGAGAGACAGAGGTTAAAATGAAGGATACGCAAAGAGAAAATAGACAATAGGAGATTAGGCAGGAGATTAGAGGAAGGGAAGGAAGGTAGAGTCCGAGGAGAGTGAAGAGGAGGAGGAGCAGGAGGAAGGGGAGGAGGAGGAGGAGGAAGAGGAGGAGGAGGAGGTGAATAATTCAGGTGCACGCGCTGCTCCTGCTGCACACATATCGATGAGATCAGAGTTTTAATGAGTGGCCACTGAGCACACTTTCATACCCACATCAATCACAGAACATAGAGCTAGAGCAAATTGAAACACGTCGTGTCAGTGTGTGTCGTTCGAATGCACCGCATAGACGTGAAGCTGCGGTCGTCACACGCTACGACGTTAACGTGTTCACGTGAACGGACGCATGGGTCTGAAGGGAGAAGCCAAAACTGGAAAGAACTGTGATTTAGAGATTAAAATTAGAGATGAAAAATAAATACATTTATATAATTGTATAAATATAGTATCAATTAAGCTACAGTTTTTATAACTTTATAAACAGCTTCCTTCAAAACAGCACTTTTGCCTTTATTTTTATTCAGTATTCATAATTATAATTTTTTGCTTATTGAAATGCTCTCCAGCGCCACCGTAGGTCAATTTTAGGCCATGTTCATTAAATCACAAAAACAGCTTTTGGCCATTTTCTACTATTACTGAATAAAATTGTTTTGTTTTTTTTTAAATAACTTCTGGTGAACATCTCATTTTTTTTAACATTCTTAACAGTCATTCATTTCTAAAGTTGCTAGTTTCTATGTTAAACTCCTGACTTTAAAACATTTTAAAAACCATTAAATATTGATTATCACTTGTTTTAATATTATGGTATGTCTTTTATAACTATATAAATCAGTTTATATTTTCATTTTTGAGCAATTTCTTTTGATAACTACAGCTGAGCAGGTTCTGAGCCATGTCGTTGTTAGCTTTAGTCTTAGCTAACTAGTTAGTCATTTTAGCTAAGTTGTTATCTGTTTTTGTTACTTTTATTTTACTACATTTAACTAAAAAGAGTCAATTCTAACTGACTAAATAACTTTCTAGGTAAATTTTAAAGTAAATTAAAGCTTTAAGAAAGTTAATTTTAGATTTAGTCATTAGGCTAATTATGCTAGCTCTGAGCTAACCTGCAGTAAATGTAAATTTTGCCCAGTTTAATAGAGTTTTTATAATATATATTAAACAGTAGTCACCAGAGTAGGTTTACTACCTCTTCTAGAGTTGGTTCAGCTGAGATTAATACTATAAATAGAAACATATTTTAGTCGTATTTAATCTAATAGAGGCTCATTATCACTTACTGCT